GTGGTAGCTGTTGTTGTACAAGAACTCAGCCAAGGGAAGATAGGTATCCCAGCTACCACCGAAGTCTAGCACGCATGCCCGCAACATATCCTCCAAAGTCTAGATGGTCCGCTCGCTATGACCACCCTTCTGCGGGTGAAAGGCGGTGCTAAAATGCAGACGAGTGCCCAACTCATCATGAAACTTCTTCCAAAATCTGGAAGTGAAACGCACATCTCTGTCTGATATTACTGACACCGGCACCCCGTGCCGCACCACTATCTCCCGGTGAGAAAACTCACTGACAACCCTCTTTTTCTGCGATTAATTTGACCCCCAGAACTACTTCTCATCGATCCACTTACTTCGAAAAATGATCTACTATTGATCACACCCCTTTTTCCATCGACAATCGGCTAGAAAATGCCACCAACCGCCATCACGCACAACCGTGGCCGAGGACACATGGAGCTTTGGCGAGCTGCTTCGATGGACTATCTGAGTTAAAATCTGATTTCCTATGTCCCTAGCATGTTTGTTTTCCATTTTGTGTGTTTAAATCATCTATAAAGAACCACATTCGAAAAAGTCGAGTTTGTGACCCCATAATCTGTTTTCTCAAATCAATCAAACTCACACGTCTAGGGTCTAAGGTCCCTCGCTTATGATTTTTGAGTTTGGGGGAGAATACATGTGTATTTGTTGAATTTTTAATGATTTAAAAGTTTTTATACACTAAAATGCATCAAACTTGGTTATTGATTAAAATCTTGTAAAATGGTTATATAAAAGTCTACATATCACCAAATATTCACCTAAGTATAAGTAGAATGCTAAATTATGTCATATCTATACCTTGTTAGGTAAATATGATTATATATGTTCGAGAAAATTCAAAAGATCATAAGTAGATTGTTATATATATATATATATATATATATATATATATATATATATATATATATATATATATATATATATATATATATATAAACATGTTAACAATGTATAAAAAGAAATTATATATGACCAAAAATGATATTCGTTATAATTATGTGCAATATAAAAGTATGTTACCTAAAATGGTTGAAAAACAAAGTTTGAAAAAATAGATGATTATTAGTTTCAGTATCAAAAATCAACTTTTTTATATATATTATATAAACTTATGAACTTAAAAACAATTTACTACATTTGTCTATTTATTATAAAAATATAAATTATTTTTACTAAATTACAAAAAAGGTTACATATGATGGTGTAATTAATTTCCGGATTCAAGAATCGTTTTATCCTAAAATCATGCATCTTATTAATTATGTAAGTTGTTGGTTTTATGGAAATTGTTGATTTCATGTTGGTTGAAACCCGGAAATTGTATTACGATAAACAATAAAATTCTAAAATATGATAAGTCTTGTAAATCCTAAATATTAAAAGAGTGAAATCAATACTTATTCCTAAACAACAAGAGTTATAATTTTCAAGTAAATTATAATGGAAAGTTTAGGATTGAAATGCTTAGATACATTGTTAGAATCCAATACATTGTTAGAATCCAATACACATGAGTTTTCCTATATGAGTTGGTGTTCATTTCTAAACTAAGACTATAAATATTAGTAAAAATCATCTATGTTATAATCGTTAATCCACATGGAACGAAGAACAAAAGATATAAGATCGATTGTATAGATTTACACGAGTAGACATCCTGCCAACGGTTGCTAGCTACAAATATTGTCTAACGAGTCGATTTGGGCGCTAACATTCATGCTCTACTTACTCCACGACATTGATAAAACGTTGATGTGGACTTTCAACATGCCCTTTTGTAGTGTTGGTGCACAGGTTTCGTGTCATAGTTCAGTTGTGAGCTACTTATAGACCCCCGATTCATTTTGTTGTCATATAGATTTGAAATAGAATTGATACGTGGATTTTTTTCACCTATAAAAGTTGAAAGAAACTGTATTTAGTGGGATAGTTGTGACTCAGAAAGATAAGTGTCATAACCAGATGAAGTCACATAACACTTAATTAATATTACAATATGATTGTTCATGGTTTATAATCTAATAATTAATAAATTATTTATAAAAACCATTTATTTTTGCATGAAATCACTTTTGGTGAAACTATTATTTTGATACATTCAAAAGGGTTTAATTTGATCTCTTGTTGATATTCAAAACCTTTTTATGGAAATTATACTTTATAATTCAAAAAAGTATTTGGTGTCCAAAAATGTAGAACTCATCAATAACTTGTTGTTGACGTATCTTAATACATGTATTCTTACGAAAATAAGACAAAGGGGATTCATGCGCAACTATTATGGCATCCTCATTTTGTATTAATTATATATTTCGCCACTATTTGCATCGATGAAGATATACAACAATACTTGTATCGATGTAATATATTTGATAATGTTGGATATCAGTAACTTATGTTTTTTCTATTGTTCGTGTATGCTTTGACTATGATATTCATAGACGTCGCTCACCCCGGCGTTTCCGCCGTAGGGTGGGGGTGAGACAACTGTGAACTATGCATTTGAGATTAATAGACCATGTAAAAATATGCATCAAACCAATACATATGGTTACTTGAAAAAAAAAATTATAACTTTAATGTTTAGTCATGCACATTATGCATTTGACATTAAGAAACTAGCTAATTACTTATATCAGATACCAGTTAGGTAATTATAAAATGTGACATATGCTTAAATCAATTACCAAATCATATTTTCTAATTTAAAGTAAACCAATGCGTCGTACATTTAACTAATGCAATTATAAATAGAATATATGCACATGTTACACACTATGAGTATAACATCCTCTCTAATATCTGTAAAAAATAATGTCAAAAGATCGATTTAACTAAAGGAAGTTTGAATATTTAACAGATTAATTCATTAAAACCTCCAAGAGTCACAAATAAGTTGATTACTTGTTTCAAAACCATAAGTTAGTACAAAAAGAATAACCACCATGATACATTCTCAAAGAAGTTATATATATATATATATATATATATATATATATATATATATATATATATATATATATATATATATATATATATATATATGGGAGGGTTCATGCGAAAATGCAAATAATTTGCGAAAACACGAAAAACTTATGATATTTTGTCACCTTAACATTATATTTTGGAAAATAATTCATCCAAATTTTCAAATACATAATGATAATCGATGATAAATAAGAAATTGTTTCATATTAGCAAACTATGATTTTTAGCATTTTTATTATGAAAACATAAATTTCAAAATGATTAAGGATGTGAAGAAAAAAATAATTATTAAAACCGTCTTTAATTTTTTATTGCCTTAACATCATCCAATGTAAACTTACTATATTTAATTTATTGCTAATAAATTTATTTTTTTATAGTACATGTGTTACATTTTTATAAGATAAAATCTGTTTTCGTATTTCCGCAAGATATTTATATTTTCTAATGAACCTACTTTTATATATATATATATATATATATATATATATATATATATATATATATATATATATATATATATATATATATATATATATATATATATATATACACACATTGCAAACGACTAAATGAAATATGTTATTTATCTATATCAATTTTAATTTTGTTATAAACCATAAAGTGTAACATCTAAAAATTATTTAAATACAAAATTTTCCATTTATATTGTTAGAAAAAATATAAAAACATATGCATTAATACATCTATGCATTGAACCAATGCACAACAGGTGAATATAAGCAATAGTTACATACTTTGAAAGCAACTCATTATAATGATATATATTTAAAAACAATTAAAGAGAAATTTAATCGATCAACAAAAATCTCAATCAGTTACCTATAGCGATGCAAAGTCATTACAAATGAAAGAATAATATGTTGCTTCCGTCTACGTAAAAAACATGAAAAACAGTCAAAAAAACATATGCATTAAAAAAATGCATATAAAACTTTAGACGCAAATTAACTTCAATCGTTTACTTTTAAAAGCAAGCTCATAGAATACAAATATATATTCATCAATACTTGATCAAATCTACATATTTGAGTATTATGTGTGTTGATCTAATTATTAATTAAAATGATGATCAGATAAAAATCAAATACCTTAAATTGTAAAATCATCACAATCCATTGAAGAGTTCTCATTTAATTCAAGTAACGTAAATGTTAACTCAAAAGTTCAAACCAAATCAATGCAATTATCGTCATTTTATATGAGAGAGAGAGAGAGAAGAGAGAGAGAGAGAGAGAAATTGATTAGATAACAAGTATCAACATTAAGAGTATACAGTATGGGCAACGAGAAGTACAATTTTTGTTGATGTGGCACCTCATAACCTAGTCAAAACAAGATGATCACCACCCCTCCTTATTGTTAAGAGGATGTTATGGCATATCTTGTTGTGACGAGCACAAGAAGCAACAAGAAATTTAATTGGTTATTGCTTTTATCAACCAATCAAATCATTTTATTTATTTCTATCTCTACTTCTTAGCGTGTTATAACATGGGGAACACCATTTCCCCCTTGGTGTTATGGTGGTGTTATAGATGAGGTGACATATGAAGTTGGTGTTATAACATGATCCATACCTAATGCTCTAACAACTAGTAGTTTCTTCAAGTCGAGTATTTTGTCTGTAGAGATGTCATTTATTTTTGTGACAATTTAAGTTGAAATTGATCTAAAATGTAAATGAATTCGCAAAATCTTAGTTGTATTTACTCTTGCGTTAATCTTTTTAATCTGATTGAATGTTCAATTGATCAAAGTAGGGATGAGCATATGGACTGGGGAACCGGCCGGAATCGGAACCGGCACCGGAACCGGAACCCTATGGAACCGGTCGGGCCGGGACCGGGACGTTATTTTTGTGGATTTTTGGAACCGGGAACCGGTAGGAACCGGAACCGACATAACCTGAACCGGTAGAACCGGCAAAAACCGGAACCGTATGATGCTATTTTTCAAGGATCGGTTCCAATATTTAAAGACACGACAAGAACCGGTAGGAACCGGGAAACCGGTAGAACCGCCGGGCCGGTTCGATTCTTGATTTTGGCCGAAGCCGGTTCCCGGTTCCGGCCGGTTCGGTCCTTTTGCTCATCGGCAATCCCAGAAACGTTTCCGGCAAGCATCGGCAATCCCAGAAACGTTTCTCGCAAGTTTCGTTCACTTTTCCTTTTTTTTTTTTGCATGGCAGCATGGGCTTTTAATACGCACCAATAGAAGTTTACAAGCGTAATTGCATTACCGATCGATGTTGCGTACTATTTTCCTTGTTGATCGATTTTTATAGTTTTACTGCCTTTTGTTTCATCGATCAAGAAGACAAGAACATGAAAAAATAAATTCAAACCTCATTCACACATTCACCACACACCTCTATATATATATATATATATATATATATATATATATATATATATATATATATATATATATATATATATATATATATATATATATATGTTTTTCATATTTTGGAATTTCTTTAATATATATATATATATATATATATATGTGTGTGTGTGTTTTCATATTTTTATATTGTTGTACCTATGCCGTATCCGTATCTTGAATATTTGAATTTTGCCGTTTTTCGTTTGCGTTCCGTATCCGTTTCCTGTTGCCGTATCCGTTTCCGTGCAACTTAGCTTTTTGTTTCCAGGAAGGAATCATTTGATAGACATCAAATTTAGTGAACAATTAAACATCTTTGCTACCTCCATCTCGAAATCATTGTACTTTGAATTCTCATCTATATCTATGACAAGCTTGTTGAACAATTTTTCAGGAGTTACAGCATGCATTATCTGTTGGTTGAGAATGCGACCATACATGAACAACATTGTAGTGAAAAAGAAATACCTATAAAACATACATGTTTCCATTTACTCATAATATACATATGTTATCATAAACAATATATATATATATAATTAAAGAGATTAGTTGTAAACAAACGAAATTGGTTCTTACCAATTGAGAAGTCTGAAGCCTGGAATACGTCTATCTTCATGAGCTCTTCTAAGTAAATTGAAGAGCTCACTTGCCATTAAGATTTGGATTACAACAATCATACCCCAGAGATAAAAATGACCTAAATACACAACCAATATGAAGCCCACAAGCATCCAGGCCGGAGAATATGTTCGGATCCACATTGATATGTATTTGTTTTAATCATTCACAAGCAAATCACTTCCATTTACCTTAATTATATCTGGAAAATCCTGGAAAAATAAGGATTTTATGTTATTAAATAAGGTAAGATTTTGTAACAAAATCAGGATCTTTATAAGAATTGAGATACTAGACTTGAAAATCCCACCAACCTTAGTTGATTTTCTCCGATTCCGAGCTCGGGAATTTGAACCTAATCTAGGGCTTTGAAGCTCTCTCTCCATTATTCTAAGATTCATTTTGGAGGCTGGAATATTCAAGTCGATGTACACCTAAACAAGCCAAGCTTAGAAGAAAAATGTTATTTTATTAAAATGAGCCTTTCTTGATGAGGTGAGAAGCCCATATATGTATAATCTAAATTAAGTATGTCCAAACATGCTAAAGCAAGTAATATCAACACGATGGCTTATCATTTATCAAGGAATTGGATTGAAGAGTTTAAATAAATTAAGGTATAACTTTTAGTTTAAAATTTGCAAAAGGAAATAAATATGATCAAACATCATAAAATGGAATTCGTAACAATTTTCAATTTTGAGAAAAAGAAACATATAGAATTTTTTTTAGAGTGAGAATCTAAGCTAAAAGATTTCTCCCCTCACTCCATTAATTAATACCGAAAAGGATCACCTAAATTGCTTTTAGAATGTTATGACGTACATCCTTGGATTTTGTGTTTACTGCTCCATTCCATATTTAGCAAAGACGATAATCATGGGTTTCAAATCCAGGTCCTGGATGCATTAATTGATGTTTTTGATCATCGAACATAATCCGCCAATTGGATGCCATCAACCTCACACAATGAATTCAGGTACGTTGGATAATAACCCACAAATCGTGATCCCTCATGCAAAATATGCTGATCTAACACGAGTTTTTAAATAATAAATGATATTGTCGATTCAAAATTGCTTCAAATTCATAAGAGAAAATGAGATGAATGGCAGTATATAATCATGCAATTTAAGGAAAAACAGAATCCAATATAAAACTAATGAGAGAGAGACAGACATACAGAGAGATCGTATGTACATTTGATTTCGAGATATCTAGTAATGATGTTGAATATCTGTAGGTATAGATTCCTCGTGGTTCACGGATATCAGAATATCTGATCACCGAAAAGGCATTGGTAATTAAATTCTTTTTAAAGAACGAATTGAAGGTAACGAGCATTCGAATCAACCCTCCCCGCTTCAGTCCCTGGTGGAAGGCGTTCAAATGATTCAAAAACAACATATTCTTTTGTTTAAGGTTGTGTGGTCGTTGGCGATGAAGATGATGGTGGTGGTCAGCAACCAGTGATCGGATGGCCGGCATGAAGGGGTCTTCAACCGGTGTCTATAGTCGGTGACGAAGATGGATCCTACATCGACGAGGCACCTTTATTGGTGAGGATTTCCCGAGTGGGATATTAGGTCGATGTTCTTTCAATGGTGGAATGGGGGGTTTTCAAAGTGATGTCAGTCGTATATAAAAAGAGGATAAATTAGGTTTAAAACCAACTAACATAATTATGAGTAAATTATATGAATGGTCCCTATGGTTTAGGGTAATTTGTACATTTGGTCATTAACTTATTTTTTTTAACTCGTAAGGTCCCTATTGTTTGTTTTTGTCACACGTTTGGTCCATGTCTTACCTAAAAAGACTATTTTTCCCTTGATTTTTTTTAATTTATTTGAATAAACAAACCCACATCCCCACCCCCTCACCTTACCTTACCTACCCCCACCATTTTTACCAATTTAAATAATAGACTTTTTAGGTAAGACAGTGACCAAGCGCGTAACAAAAACAAACCGTAGGGACCTTTCGAATTAAAAAAATAAGTTATGGACCAAGCATGCAAATTACCCCAAACCATAGGGACCATTTGTGTAATTTACTCCATAATTATAGGGGAGTATTTGGGGAAGTTATTTATCAAATTACCTAATTACCCTTATTTATTTATTTTTATTTTAAATTTTGATTGCTCAACAATCAATCATACATCCACACAATACTTAGTAAGAATATTTGAGCCTCTCTCTTTCTCTCTCTCTCTCTCTCTCTCTCTCTCTCTTTCTCTCTCTCTCTCTCTATATATATATATATATATATATATATATATATATATATATATATATATATATATATATATATATATATATATATAGAACTCAAAGATTTGCGAGAACCCGATAACTCTTAATTCACTTAACATTTTTTAGAACGAATACCACTCTTAGTGTAACGCCCCATTCTTAAAGTACTTATGTATGAGTCCCCGTGATTTAAGAGGAAGAGTATTTTGGTCCTTTTATGGGAAATGGGTTTCATCCGAGAAGGTTTCGGACCATGGTATGTATCTAGAAGTGTAGGGCTTCTCGCCACATCTTCGTGGATATAAAGTTCTTCGAAAACGGAGCTAGAATGAGGGAGTTATGACACTTTAAAATCCCGAAAGAAAACAAGTTACCCCTATTACTCCTCATAAAGGCCGAGAGGAGCATAAATATTGACCATATAACAATTAAGATTAAAAGGAATCCACAAGCCACCCACGATAACCACATTACTAGTACAAGTAACACTACTTTTAACAAAAACATTTGGATCCCAAACTGACAGAATACCTCCAGATCGTCCCCAAGCACAACTCGTAGCAAAATCAAAACGACAATTACCCCACATACTACGAATCTTGAATAGATCAACTTAAGTCATTCTCGTTTCTTAAAAACCTAAAAAAGACACTCCAAACTACAAACATAACACCTTAACCCAACTTCTTTTCAAGAAATTCTGGGTACCACAAATATTCAATGAAAGACAATTCATTGATCCACCTGTAACACATCAATACTAGACAAAATCTCTTTAACCGGCTCCTTATTAGATTCCATATCATACTCAAGAAGGCCTCTCACCCTCCACACCATCCACCGCATGTGTCGGGCCATTTGGCATCACATACTCATCCAACCTAACCAAAGAAACATCTCTAGGTGTAACACCGTGATTTTTCAAATAAATTGTTTTTTTTTCATTTTAAATTACAAAAATTCTCATAATACATTCCACGAAAATCCCAAAAATCAATTAACAAAACACAATTCCATATTAGTTAAATTAATAATCCAGGATCCTCTAAAAGATAACTCTTTATCTCGTGTGTACAATCGAACCGTCGCCTTCCCGTGATCCTGAGAATCACCTGAAACACATAGCACATAACACTGTAAGCACGAAGCTTAGTGAGTTCCCCAAAATACCACGCACAAGTAATTAACCACTCGAGGCTATAACTCTGTAAGACCCTCTTGGTCAATGTGTCTCAGTGGGACCCTTCGGTCCCACAACTCTGACGGACCCTCCGATCCTAACTCTGTGAACCCTCTGGTCCTAGCTCTGTAAACTCATAATAATACACATCATAAAACACATAGACATAATGTAGGATATCATAATACTCAAATAAACATATGAGATCAACATATACACGGATTATTATAAAAACATAAGTCACAAAGACAGTATACATGATAAAACATAACACATTATAAACAAATAAGACCCTCCGGTCGATAATGTACTAAGACCCTCCGGTCTATATGTAATGAGACCCTCCGGTCAATAATGTGCTAAGACCCTCTGGTCAATAGTGCAAATAAGATCCTCCGGCCACACCCTAACTCTGTGAACCCTCTGGTTCTAATTCTGTGAACCTTCTGGTTCTAACTCTGTGAACCTTCTGGATCTAACTCTGTAAACATGCACAACATAAATCACATAGAAATAATGCAGTGCAACACATAACATACATAGCATACAAATACTCTATCACATAACTCTGGTTACCTACTCAAGATAAAGTATACTGAGAAGACTCACCTCGGCTGGCGAGCAGATCCTATAAATGATGTTGTACTCCGGCCTCTATCACTGTGCCAATCCGACATTTAACCCCATTAGGATCTAAGACTAAACCTTCACATATTAGGTCTAAATATGGTCCACCAACTCAGTCCATAAATAACTTAATCCCATTGGGCCCACAAAGGCCCAATACCAAATGCATATACAAAAGTCCAATAATGGCCCAACTTTGGCCCAATTTTCCAAATTGGGCCCAACCCTCATATGGGCCTTACCCTAAAGCCCATTTAAATATCTAGTCCACATGATTACTCTTGGATGGCCCATCAATAGCCCAATCGCCAAAATCCAATAGAAAGGCCCAACTCAAGGGCCAAGCAAAATGAGGGTTTTCACATAAAATGACTATTAGGGTTAAGTGTTTCTCACTTAACCCATTAAGGACTTAACACATTAAGTCCATCACTCCACTAGGCCATTCACACAATGAAGTGGGACATAATTCATAGTACCAATCTAACAGTCCAATCACGGGTCCCGGTAAAATCCAAAATAACAAACCCAAAATTAAGGTTTTCTAGCCCAATCCAAAATTACATCAATTGGCTCCTTGACGCGCTTACTCTGCTAAATATTATTTGTTTTGGAGCTATAAATCTTTATCTATTTATTTATTTAATAATCGGGATGTTACACTAGGGATTACCGGTTCACTTTGATTCACATCCGTAACAGGAGCGGCATCATCAACGAATGAGGAAGACCCCCCATCCACTACCTCATTGCCCTTTCTTTTAATATTAGTTTGAAAAAACCCGCCTTTTCTATCCAAAAACCCGACACCTCTATCCCCTTTACTATGCATGTTGTCCGTACCGAAAGAATCCCCATGCCCCTCATTCACCTTCTCCTCATCTTTTACTTTAGAGAAATTAAATATCCTTCTACCATTTGTTTTTACATTTCTTCCTACCATGTCAAATGTTGACAAGTGGATTAAATGATTATTAATTTCATTAAATGTCTAATTAAATGTAACACATGTCAACATTTGATATGGTAGGAGGAAAAGTAGGAACAAATAGGAGTAGGATATTTAATTTCTCTTTACTTTAAGACCTTTAATCTCATCTTCATCAAAACATACATCTTCTTCTTCATCACCTAACAAATCTGGAATATCCGAATCAATATCACCTGCCTCCATCATATCTGTTTCCTAATTAGAAATTCGGCGCACAGTAACAACATATTCTATTCCTTGAGCCACCACCCTAACCTTATCATGAATTAAGGAAGACACACGTGTTTTACCGCCAATGGAGCATTCTCATCTTCCTCAAGAAAGTAAACGTCACCCCATATATTAGCTATATTTTTAACAGTAGCATCATTCCAACTACAACAAGGTAGACACAACATCTCTAACCAAATAGTACGCTCTTTAACATAGAAGCCATTAACAACCGATCTAAAAACTCAAAAATAGGACTTAACCCCTTCAGACTTCTTGAACTGAGTGCAAGTATCCTCGGATAGAAAAGAGATAAACCCCCAGTCACTAGCAACATACTTGATAATACTCATAGGAAATCCTTCTTCTTTCAAAAGAATACACAGTTTTGAAATCAATCTAATATCTCTCAGCTTACCGAAAATCGAAGATTGGATGGACAAAGGATTGTCAATCTTTGTTCCTTGTAAAGACCACACAACAGAAACCGGTTTTTTCTTCTCATTTGCACTTGTATCTCCCTTAACTGCATTGGCAAAAGAACCACTCTGGACATGAACATGCACCTGAGGCCTCCCCATATGTTCCTCAGACTTAGATCGGTTACCATGCCCCTGAGAAACCGACCTGTTAACCTGTCCCTGTGAATTCTCCCTTCCATTCTTACTCACAACCCGATTAAACCAAGTAATAGAAGCAAATATGTGATACGATCCCATCCAAATTTCCCGAAGTCAACGTTCCAATACTTGATCATCACTAGGTTTAATGAATCGAACAAAAGCAAATCTCTTACCCAATTTTGATAATTTTTTAGCCATATAAACATCAGCCACTGTCCCAATTTTAGCACAAACGTCCCACGGAGACTTGACATTGGCATTAGGAGGAAAATTTGTAACATAGAAGGAAGAAGAAAGATTATCCACCAGTCGATTATTAGTTAGAGTATAGTGAGACCGAGAACCCTGCTCATTATCGACCATGGAAGGCGACGACGAGAGAAGAAGAGAATCGATGGCGTTTGGTCCCGCCGGAAATCACCGGAGCTGTAGGTTATAGGCATCCAATTATAACTTTTCTTTTACAAAGCGACATAATTTGGTAGTTTTTGTACATGAACTATATCAAAGGAAAAATTATATTTGTTTTCGATTGATTTTTCCATAAAGCTTTTTCAAAAAGGCATTCATCAAGTTTGCACTTTGTTTCTTGTTGAATATAAACTTTTTTGGATAATAGAGTTGACTTCAAAAATTTTCACCAAATTAGTGTCGCACATACAATAATTCAATAAAAGATGCAATTATTGGACCAACATGATTTGTTGGTCTATCTATTTTAGGAGTTAATGCCCGATTATTTGAATATTTGTCTAAAGTTAGATCTTTGTTTGTTTGCAAGGTGAACTACATCTCTGTATTCAATCTAAAAGTTTCTCCCTCAAGGATGAACAATAGCGAACTTTAAAAATAAAAAAAATAAATAAATAAATAAATAAAATAAAAAATATATATATTATTATTATACTTTTTTGTGTCATATTTTTGCAAACACATATGTTGGTAATAAAAAAATAATTAATATAGGGCATTAGCATTGTACGATATCCCCAGGCAACACTAACAACGTCGCCCTAGGCATAATAAACCAATGGCTTGGCAATTGTTACGTCTAAGATATATTTAACCTAAAAAAAAGAATTTGATGATTTTTTTTTTTTGAAATGCGCATATATGCACATGTGAATGTGAAAATATGCAAGTTATGTGTTTTTTTTTTCCAAAAAAATTCAAAACCAACACATTTACTATGAAGATGTTCATGGAGGGACTTCTGACAATCAAGCTAGTAATCACGAACGTAATATTTTATTAATTACCGGTAGCAAATGTGTGTTAACTGTCACATTCTTAGAACTACATAAGAAAATTTTTGAATGAGACTGCATGTTTTAGCTGTATGCATGCAGTCGAAATTTTTTTTTGTCATGGCATTATGATTGGCGAGAGTTTCGGAGAAGGGCTAGCCTTATAATTCTCATCTTCCCTTATTCTTTGTACTTTCGTCTTCATGTTAAGTTCAGCCAAGTGGTCACAAAAAGATTGGTTTTTTTAATTTTGACCACTTTTTTGAACCTTTACCATGACATCATGAAAATGAAATCAGCAACATGGGGTACACCATGTATGATGTACATTAAATTTTATTAAACAGTTAACATATAATATAAAAGATACAATCTACGTTTGCATATTTATTTATTAAGTGATAATCATGTTTATCATAAAATTGTGCATTGACTTTCAAAGCAAAAGAAAAGGACTTATATACAAGTTGGGTTATATTATATAAAAATAAATATATGTGGTTCAGTGGTTACTCCTTCACCATCGGAGGATGGTGGCCGGAAGCTGAAGAACAAATGCTTTGAAGATGTCAAAGGCCGATGGTGACAGGCCGCCTGCGACAGAGAGGACGCTACAATGTGAATGAATATGTGTGGTTGCTCTATCAAAGCCACGAGAGATATATTGAAATTAATTGACCACATGAGTCTTTATTAAATTTATTAAATAAGAATTTAATTTGAAATAAAAGTAACTGACTATTAAACCATCAATTTCTATTTTTTTTTTTCAAAATTTAAGGGAGAAGGGAGTAGCGGAGAAGGGAGTAGCGACAGTCTGGGAGCTGGGATGGTTGGACAGTCTGGGAGCTGGGATGGTTGGTACCAGTGGTACCGCCGGGTTCTAATCCCATGCCCGGTCGCTTGAAGAAGCTCAAGCTTTTGTTTCTTTCTCGCGGGTTTGTGAACCGCTACCTTTCTCTCTTTTTAAATTTCTTTCAAATTTTCTATGCATTAATTCATTGTATCTCAAACTTCAAAACTTGTATCAATTTTTATTTGTAACGTTTTTTATTAGTATGTGAATTAATTTTGTATGTTTTTAATGTTTTTGTTAATTAAATTGAATGATTTTAATTAGTGTGTATTTATTTTAAAATTAAAAATTAAGTGGGTGGAAAATATATATGTTTTATGTGTTTTATAGGTTGGAAGGTTAGAAGAGTAAAAATCAATTGATGTGGTAGTAGGTTGGAAGAGACTGGTTACCTCCTTCCTAATAAACTTAATTAAAATAAATTAATTATATTAGTTATATGAATGTTTTTTATTTTATTGAAAACGTAAAAAAGCAACTTAATAAAAATGATATGAAAAGGATATATTTCTTTACTTTTCTTGAATATATATATATATATATATATATATATATATATATATATATATATATATATATATATATATATATATATATATATATATATATATATATATATATAAACAAAATCAATAAAACATGTATAAATCTAAAAAAACTAAAAAATCGTAAAAATATATATAAATTTGAGATATCTTATATGTTTTATTTTATTTTACAGGGCTATCGATTGTAACTTTTTATTTAAATTCGCTAAATAAGATATTATATATATATATATATATATATATATATATATATATATATATATATAACAAAAAATTGTAAAAATATATATAAATTTGAGATATCTAATTTGTTTTATTTTATTTTGCAGGGCTATCGATTGTAACTTTTTATTTAAATTCGCTAAATAAGATATTATATATATATATATATATATATATATATATATATATATATATATATATATATATATATATATTATTTTCAAATTTTTTTAGCGAATTGGTAAAAATAAAAGTTGTGATTTTAGCCATATATAAAGTCAAAAAAAAGATAGATATCTTAGAATATATTTTTTTTATGTATTTCTATTGATTTTCTATATTTTAGGGTCTTCAAAGGTTTATGTATTTTTGCAACTTTTTATACCAATTAACTGAAAAAAGTTGAGAAAAAAAGCTTATAAAAAGATAAAAATATTATTTTTATTTTTTTTAACGAAATTAAATAAAAAGTTGCGATCTTTATCCCTGTTAATCAGTTATCTCAAAGTATATATATATATATATATATATATATATATATATATATATATATATATATATATATATATATATATATATATATATATATATATATACACTAAAAAAAGTAAGATACACCAAAAAAAAATTCTATAATTTCAATAATAATAGGGTATATCGGAAAAATGAAAAACAAATTATATATATATATATATATATATATATATATATATATATATATATATATATATATATATATATATATATATATATTTCATATTTCCAATATACCCCACTATTATTTGAATTATAGTTTTTTTGTTGTACCTAGTTTTTTTAGTTTTCATTTATACGTTGTTATAGATTAACTTAGTTTTTTGTAATTTTAAAAAAATCATATCTTTTATATTTACTAAATATATACATCAAAAGATCAAGTGTTTGTTTGTTAGGTTCTGTTTGAGAGCTTCTATTTAATAGTGTTTAATTAAAGGTTTTGTGTTTAACAAAAAATATTATTTAAACAAAACATTCCTAGTTAAAAGTTATTTCATATAATGTTTAGCAAAACTATATCAACAACCCACTAGTTATACTCACGCCTCTAATAGATAGTTTTAGAATTTTTTCGATGCTTATTATATTTTATTGATTTAACATTATAATTTTAATTGACTATAATTTTAGTCTTATAGGTTTTAATTTACTGTTCACGTTGTTGTATTTGGTTTTTATAGTAAATTTTACACTATTGCTATTTAAGTAGGAGATAGTGATGAGAAAAAGTTTGAATTGTTCTAGACATACTTGATATGAATTAATTTATTTGACACTTCAATTTACATATGACAGACCTATCATAAAAACGACAATACAGAATAAAATATTTCAAATTATAACACTGTATATCTAATAATATAATTTTATTTTAATATTAATACTAAGTAATAAATATAAAACTCATCTATACGAGCTAGGGCCTTGGGTTGAATTTGATATATAAAAGTTTATGTTACTTACATGGTAATGGTAAAGTCATAAATTTATAAATATAACCTTAAAGCAATGGATTAATTTCTAAAAAAAAAAAAAAATCAAAATTACCGGTTTCAAATGATGGCAATTCGCGATGAGTATTAAAAAAAAAGGATAATGTCATAAAAAGATTTAAGTTTGGCAGAAACTATCGGTTTTAACTTTCAAAAGATTTTTGATTCGTTTATTCTGCAAACTTGTTATTTTTTTTGTCGGTTTTACCATTTTTACCTGTAATAGCAAGTTTCCAGGTTACCGTGAATTTTTTTTGCGAAAAAACCCTTAGGTTTTTAAATATTTTGCAAAAAAAAACCTTAAGTTTCCAAATATTTTGCAAAAAAACCCTTAAGGTTATAAATATATAAAATATAAATATATATTCAAAATTTGATAAAACTAAATAGTTTTTAAAAATTTAAATGTCAAAAGTTTATATCAAACTAATAAATTTTACTGGACTTCTATTATGAAAAACATGATACAATACTATTTTTGAAATGCAACCCTTTTAAACATATAAATGTGAAAAGTTTATATCAAACTAATTAATGTCATATTATTCATATGGTTAATTGTTTTAGCATATTTAATTATTTGCTAACAGAAGTTTTTTAATTTTACTTTGAAAAGTTTAAGTATTAATTAAGGAATATATTCAAATTTGATAAAACTAGATAACTTTTTTAAAATTTAAATATACAAAGTTTA